ATGTTCACAAGAGAGAATATTTCACAGGAATCAAAATCCTATTTACGAAGGGTTTAAATGACTTAGGGAAATGCTTGAGAAAGGCAGGTGAAAAAAACGAGTAGAAAATTATTAATGTATTATCTCAATTGTGCAAATATGCCAAATGTCATCAGTAACCAACTCAGGGTGATGGGATTAGGTGTTCTTGCTCTACTTGCTTGGATGCCAGCTGTGTTCTTGCCTTAATTCGTTGCTGGAGCCAAACCTTTGCAGAAGGCAAACAACCATTCACAGTCACTTCCTCCTTACCTCACCTGTGTCTACAGGGACCTTTCTCACTTTATTCTCTCAAATGCACTCATTGAGTGTATTTCTAACACCATAACATACAAAATTGTTCTATATATATTCTATACATAGTACATATATTATAGCTCTACAAACACTGTAACACAATAAAGGTTATTTCTTATTTTAACTATTAAGCAACTAAATAGTGTAATTACTAATACATTTCCCTCTTCCATACAATACACTGTCTTTCTGGAGGTAAAAGGGGAGAAGCAGAGCAGAGAGGAAGGGAGAAAAGCAAAAAGAAGGGGAAGGACCATGAGAGCAACCCGAAGTTATCTGTAACTATTTTGGGGAAAGTAAAATAAAAACTGTCCAAAGTGACAAAGCAAGAAAAAATAGAATCTTTGTATTCTCTTTGCATCACTCCGTGCCTAGTAGTCCTGGGAAGTCCTGAATTACAGGGTAGGAACCCCTTATATATATTTTTCACAAAGATAAAAAATTCTAAGTCTGTATGCATCTAGTGAAATAGCCTCAATATTTATAAGGCAAAAATGGATATAATAATAGAAAAAAATGATATTTGCAACATTGTCTTCCTAACTTGATAGTGTGTCCCTTTCCTAAAGATATTTTACTATTTTAGAAAACATGCAATATGTTGTAACTTTCCCATTTAACATAATAGAAAATAGGCTTCTGGTTAGAAGTTATTTTTGCATAGAACATCTGATTAAAACAAATTAAGGAGATACCAGAATATTGCCTAAGACTATTAACGTATGTGATAAAATTATTTTTAAGAAGCAAGGGAAATGGTAATTTAGGCCAACATTCCCAAGGACAAACTTAAAAATTCTATACAAAATAGAAAAAAAAAATCATGAAAAGAGCTAACATTTACTGGTAAGGAGCCTGAAAGATGGCCTGTGATGATCTCTGCCTCCTATTATTCACACCCTGAAGAGAAATTTTAAAATATTTCAAATAAGTAAAAATAAACACAATTTGCAGTAAAAGTAATGCCTAAAGGAAAATTTATAACATTGAATGTACATATGAGAAAGATCTAAAACCAGTAACTTAAATTTGCCCTTTAGGAAACTAAAAAAACAAAAAAGCAAATTAAATCCAAAGTAAGCAGAAGAAAACAAAAATATTAAGAATTATAGCAGCAATCAATGAAATTGAAAACAGGAAATCAACAAGGGAAAAATGAACAAAATCAAGAGATGTTTTGAAAAGATCAATAAAAATCGATAAACCTCTGGCTAGGCTAACTAAGAAAAAAAAGAGGACACAAATTATTAATATCAGAAAAGAGAGAAGGGGCATCACTACTGATCTTTTGGACATTATAAGGATAATGAAGGATTACTGTGAACAACTCTATGCTCAGAAATTTGATAACCATTTGATAAATAAAATACACTAATTTCTTGAAAGACACAATTTGCCAAAACTCACACAAGAATAAATAACCTGAACAGGTGCATATCTATTAAAGAAATTGAATCAGTAATTAATAACCTTCCAAAATAGCTCAGGCCCTGGTGGGTTCACCAGTGAATTCTACCAAATACTTAAGGAAGAAATCATATCGATTCTCTACAGTCTCTTTCAGAGGACAGAAGCAGAGCGAACACTTCCTAACTCATTCCATGAAGCTAGCATTGCCCTAATACCAGACCGGGACAAAGACATTGGACAAAACCTACAGACCAACATTACTCATGAATATAGATACAAAAATCCCTAACAAAATATTAGCAAATAACATTCAACAATGTGTGTGTATATATATATATATGTAAACCACAAGCAAACGGGATTTATCCGAGGTATGCAAGACTGGTTCAACACTCAAAAATCAACTAATTGTTAGAGGACAGAGGAAACAAGCATGCCTAGTGAAGTGAAAAGGCATCTTGAGACAGGAAAATGAGGCAGGTAGCTCCATATAATCAACGGATTGGTTTATTATAGGGTAACTCAGTCCTGATGAGGTGGGATTGGGATGGGCAGATAATGATCCAGAAGCATCCGCAGCTACATTCTGCGCTACGAGGGGCCATTGGGACAATGTTATAGTTAACCTAGGGTATGGGGTAGGTGTTTGGAAAAAGACATGCATTCTTAAGTCAAGACTTATGAAAGGGTAAGTAGTCTCATGGGCACTGGGAATGCATCAGCAAAGGTTTTCATTGTCTGGGGGCTAACAGTGCATGCAAGCTACCTGGTCCTAATGATTATTAAATAATACCTATTAATTACAAAGCTCTTGATGACAGAGAAGTGGTTTACTGCACAGTATAGTCCTGGGTAGGATTAGCAGGATAGGAGAAACTGTAAGGGCCCAAGATGGTGTCAGTTATGCTAACAGCCACACAGTAATCCATCACACATCAACAGACTAGAAAAGAAAAATCATACAATCACTTTTAATAGATGCAGAAAAAATATCTGACAAAATCCAACACCCATTCACAACAAAAACTCTCAGCAAACTAGAAATAGAGAACTTTCTCAACTTGATAAAGAATATCTACAAAAAACATAGAACAAACATACTTAACAGTGAGAAACATGAAGCTTTTCCACTAAGATCAGAAACAAGACAAGAAGTCCCCTTATTTCTTGCAATATCATACTGGAGTATTAACTAATAAGAAATAAAAGGTATGCAGATTGGGAAGGAAGAAATGAAACTATCTTGTTTGCAGATGACAATATTATATATGTAGAAAATCCAAAAGAATCAACAAAAACATTCCTGGAACAAATAAGCAACTATAGCAAGGTTATAGGAGACAAGGCTAATACACAGAAGTCAACCATTTTCCTATATAACAGCAAAGAACAAGTGGAATTTGAAATAAAAACCCCAATACCGGTCACACTAGCACACCCCAAAATGAAATACTTAGGTATAAATCTAAAAATGTACTATATAAGGAAAACTACACAACTGATGAATAAAATCATGGAAGAACTAAGTAAATGGAGAAATATTCCATGTTCTTGGATAGGAAGACTCAATATTGTTAAGATGTCAGTTCTTCCCAATTTGACCTATAGATGCAATGCAATCCCAACCAAAATCCCAGCAAGTTTTCTATGGACATTGACAACAGATTCTAAAGTTTATATGGAAAGGCAAAAAACTCAGAATAGCCAACACAATATTGAAGGAGAATTAAATTGGAGGACTAACACTACCTGACTTGAAGACTTCCTATAGTGATAGTAATCAAGACAGTGCGGTAATGGTGAAGGAAGAGCCAAATAGATCAATGGGACAGAATGGAAAGCCCAGATAGAGTTAACAAATCTTTGACAAAGGAGCAAAGACACAAAAATGGAGTAAAGATTTCACCAAAGAAGACATCAGATGGCAAGTAAGCATATGAAAAGATGCTCCACAACATGTGTCATCAGGGAAGCGCAAATTAAAAGAACAATGAGATACCACTACAAATCTACCAGAGTGGCCAAAATCTGGAACACTGACACCACCAAATGCTGGATGTGGAGCAACAGGAACTCTCATTCACTGCTGGAGGGAATGCAAAGTGGTACCACCACTTTCAAAGACAGTTTGGCAGTTTCTCACAAAACTAAACATATACTTACCATACAAATCCATCAGTCATGCTCCTTGGTATTTATGCAAAGTTGGTGAAAACATGTCCACATGAAAAGCCTGTATACAGATGTTTATAGTAGCTTTATTCATAATTGCCAAAATTTGGAAGCAATCAAGATGATTTACAGTAGCTGAATGGATAAACTATGGTTCAACCAGACAATGGAATACTATTAGGCACTAAAAAGAAGTGAGCTCTCAAGCCATGAAAAGACCTGAAGGTGCATGTTATTAAGTGAAAGAAGTTAATCTGAAGGGCTACATACTGTATCATTCCAACTCTGCCATTCTTGAAAGGGCAAAATTATGGAGACAGTAAAAAGATCAGCAGTTGCCAGGGGTTGAGGGTACCGGAGGGAATACTAGGTGGAGCACAGAGAATTTGGGGGGCAGTGAAAATACTCTTATAATTGTATAATGATGGATACATGTTATTATATGTTTGTCCAAGTCCATAGAATGTGTACCAAGAGTGAAGCGTAATGTATACTGTGGACTTTGGGTGATTGTTATGATGTATCAGTATAGGTTCATGAAATGTAACAAAAGTACCACTCCGGTGGGGGATGTTGATAATGGAGGAGGGAGGCTATGCATGTTTGGGGCAGAGGTTAAATCAGAAATCTCTGTACCTTTCCTTTGATTCTGCTGTGAATCTAAAACTGTTTTAAAAATAAAGTCTTAATTTAAAAAGGTCTATTGAAATCTAGAGAAAAATTGGGGAAAAGAATACTACATTGTAACATCTTTCATTAATCTGTTAGATTCAGAGTCAGAAATTCTGGGACCACATTTGTAATAACTCATTACCAAGTGAGTCGTACAATGAGGTCACGCCCTATACAGCCTACATCACGGGATCCAGCATGATACTCTGACCACCAAAAACAACAGATGTTATGAAGAGTCAAAGGGAGAATTAAAAGAGCCAAATACGGCCCTAAAACTCTGGACTATTACTATCAGTGCCATAAAACAATTTAGGAAATCTATTTTAGAATTCAAACCCTTTGGAATTTTTCCCCCGAAGTTCATTTACTAGGTCTACTCTCATGTTTTCCCTTAATCCTATTTTTATTAATTAAGAATTCTGTTGCCACACCAATAATACATTTGAACAAAGAAAACAATTTTACAACTTTGACATTTTAGTGTCATTTTATACTATACAAAACCTTATGTACATAGTTCTTCAGAATGTATTTCAGTTTTCTACCCACTATTCCAAGTGTGAAACAATATCAAGTAGATTTACAGGAAAGCATAAAAGAGGAAACAGTTCTACAATTTAATATATACAGTGCCATTTCTGGTTATTGTTTTTACAGTTTTCTTTTGAGGATAATCCACTGAAATTTTCTGCCAATGATATTTCAGAGTGAAGTTATCTTCAAGAGATCTCCAAGAGATTCAAGAGTATGAAAGTCCAGTACATTGTACAGGTGACACCTGACAGTTTATGAGTAGCTGCAAATCATTTTTTCCCCCATTTTTTTTCAAAAGTCTTAGATGATGAAGAGGAATCATGACTTTCACCACCACTGTAGTGCTCATATAAAGTCTGAAATTAAAAACATAAATTTGCTTTGTAACTTTTAAAATTCAATGTATTATCATATCAGATTAATAAATATAACTTTACATATTCTACTCTGTAATAAATTTCTCTCTTGTTCTTATAATTAGGAAATTATTTTATAAACTGTAAGAGATAATTAAAAAATTTAAACACCTAGCTTGGCTTAAGAATCACCTATCATGACATGTGGCGTAATCTTTCTGTAGGAAAAATGCAACAGCTGTAAGAATATATATGTGCATCCTCAAGGCCTTCTTGATCTCCCTTACTTTTTCTTAAATAAAGCCAGTCTTAGGTAAATTCCTATACTGTAAAATATTCTCATCAGGCAATATACTTTCAGCTGATATTTAAACTAATAAACAGAGGACATTTAAAAAAATCATACAATTATTATATAGATATGCATAATTAACTATATTAAAATCTATGTATTAATAAAGGATTTAAGGCTAGTCAAATCTAATTTATGAAAATGAAAGAAAGATATCTTTGCCATCAAGGATCACATAACCTTACTGATAAAGATAACTAATAAACCTCAATTTTACTTATTAAAGGCTTTAAACAATACTGGTAGAAATTTAAACCACAGAGATATGAAATACAGAGAAAAATTACAAAACAAATTTTGCCCAATTTTAATTCCTAAAGCCATTGATTTAGCTATCAGCACTTAAGAAAACTTCAGAAAAAAATTTACCTTGTATCATATGAATGCAAATACAATAGTGAATATATTATAAATTTCTCTAGAAATGTATCCAAGTTCTTAACATCTTAGATTGGCTTTCCCCCGATCCAGAGAGCTAAGAAAGTTTTTAGTTTAAGCTCCCATAATTTTACAATAACATTATCTGAACTATATAATTAGTAACTAAGGTGAATAAACATACATAGTGTTCTAGAAATGACTAGGAGTTTGATGGCGGTGAAATTTGAAAATCAGGGTGCAGATTGGGAGACTCAAGGGCTTGAGACACTTGCTTTGAGAAATGTACTGATTGCTACATACAGCTTCACAAGAGTCCCTGCATGTGATAAATACTGTGATAAATATGGTTTAAGAAAAAAATTGTCTAGAAGAAGTCTGTTGAAAAGCTGTATTAAAAATGGTGTTGATATGAAAGATATTATTCAATTTATTCCAGTTAAGACCTGAGAGTAATCCTTTGAATGTACCTTATATGACAATCCATTTTCAGTTGTGCTGTCTGCACAATAAGAATGTAAATCAAATAAATATTTGTCAAAAATCACATTTTAAGTATTAAATATAGTAAAATACTTTATAGCTGCTCTGATGGTTGGGCCAGCTTTCCTTTGGATTACCTGTTTAAGTGTCTAACTCATTAACTTATGCAAAACAATTAAAATTAGCGTAGACAGAGAACAGACATACTTACTTTAGCAGCTCTCAAAATGGAGTTAGGAGAATTCAGACAAACAAGTTGGCCCAGAACATGTTTCATTTCCTCAGTGGTTCCTTTGGCCATCTGGTTTCCTGTAAAAAATAAAATAACACACTGGTATCAAATAAGAAAAACATTAGTTCATATATATAAATATGTATTCTGTTTAATAGCACAATAACTGGCATTCCTGTAATTTATCACTGATCATAACCTCTTACCTAGGGTAAGTAAAAATGAATGCCAGTCTAAAGAAAGGTGATTTCATTTATTTTTGTATTTAGCATTAAGGAGCTTCCTTAAGGTAGAAAGCAGGCAGGAAAAGAACAGCCAGTTCAGACTCTGTTTTTCATTACAGTTAAAAGGCTGTTTATATTAGCAATTTAGTGATAAATTTATTTTTAAAGAAGTACCTGGATGGGTTTGAATCTGGACATATCGATGTGCCAGAAGCTCAGGAATGGATATCCTCTGTTTAGGGTCTCTTATTAAACAACACTGTAAACATAAAGATTAAATTTTTTAAAAAAAGCACATTTTCTCATGCAATATTGATATTTTCCCAGATCACATCATATTATAGAAGTTGCTTTCTAGAGAGTCTACTTAGAAATTACAAGATTTTACAAGTCATTTTGGCAAAATCCCCAAATATTCATAAGTTTTAAAATATCTTCAAAGTGAAATTCACATTCCTTAGAAAGCTAATTCAGTCAGCAATTCCTTTCAATAGATTAGTTATAGCTAAGCCAGTTACATAATTCCAATCATTTCAGCTATTTCTTTAAGTAAACCATTAAGTACTATATGAAATACAGTTATTCTATAACCATATACTATTTATATTACCTTTAACACATCTTGAAGATCTTTCTCTGGAATATCAGGAAATTCAATTTCATGATTAGGGTCAATTATGGCATGTAATTTAGAAATCTGATTAATTATATGCTGAAACGGTGTTTTCCCATAAGTCATGTAGTACAAAATGCAGCCTAAGGACCAAACATCACTTTTGGGGCTTATCTAAGTTAAAAAAAAAAAAAGTTACTGTCATTTTAATATAAAATTAAAAGAATATTATATATACAAACATATGCACCCTAATATTTAAAATCATTACTAAACCTCAGTAAATGTACAAGTATTAGACTATGTTCATATAACAAAACATCCTTTTCTAGTTTTTATTTCATTTGGTTATTTTATCAAAAGAGATGAGTTTCACTTTATATCATTCAACAAACTCATAATTAAAATATTTCAACGAAAAAAAATATTACATTCTTATCAGCCTGTGAAAATATAAAACTAAAAAGCATAATTGCAAATTTTAAATTTATTTGTTTTCCCCCAAATTCCTGGATTACAATAAACTTTTACATAAATTCATAATATATAAATATGTATAGATTTTTAAAAAGTTATATAAGTTGAGCTATCCTAAACCCAAGAACACAAACTATAGAGCCAGGCTGGGCTGGGCTTGAATCCTGGCCTTATCACTAGCTGGTATTTCTATGCATCTCTGTTTTCTCACCTCTAAAACAGAAAAAATTAAAGTATATTTTCATGTGTATTAAATAATATAACCATGAGATATGGGTAAGCATAGAGAATGGTTTCTGGTTACAGTAAGTACTCAATAAATATTACTTATTACTAAATATTCTTTGTATTAAATAATTTCATCAGAAATAATGCAATATCATAATTACACCTTTGACTTTAAAAAGAACATGAATAAGAGCAAATAGCAGTGGGCATAATAAATGAGAATGGCTAGACTCCTCTTTTAAAAGATGGATACTCAATACACATTAAAACAAAAGGGAACCACATGCTTTCCACAAAAGATTAATCTAAACCAGATGACACAGAAAGGTAGAAAGGAAATGGCCATATAACCAAATGCAAAAAGGAAAAGAAAACAGAGACAGCAATATTAATATTAGGAAGAGAACACGGCAAAATGCTTTTAAGAGAAAAAGCCATTTTATAGTGATAAAAGGTACAGTCACCCAAGAAGAGAGGATAGTTATGAAATTCTATGCACTGAAACTACATTCAATAGAACTAAACTGAGCAAAAACCTATATTAAAATCTTTGAAGGGAGTTGGGTTTTAACATCCCTTTCAGAACATAACAGATAGAATAGATTCCATTATCTGAACACAAAGCAAACTGAAAATTAATTAAAAAACAAAACAAACAAAACCTCTTCTTCCTCCAATTTAATCACTTAAAATTTAAGTCCATTTCTAAATACTAAATCATGGATTAAAAAGAATTTCAGATTCTGGGAAAAGGGCAGTGGCTGTGGAAGCCCCAGTTTCTCAAATTCTGCAAATCCCCAGAAGACAGAGCAGCCTGGTAACAAAATCATAAACATATGGAAAATACTGACAGCAGAACCAGGGAACCCCAGGATGAGAATGTCGACAAACCACCACCACCCACAAGTCCGGCATGGTAGAGGTGTCTGGAGAAGAGGGAAGGAACAAATGTGACTGCCAGACCTCAGAACAGAAATCCCAAGTAGCCAGCAGGTGTTAGATTGGGAGGGGTTTTGGGCTCTTTCATGGCAAGGATTACCCCACATGTCAGGATAAAAATTTATCTTCTATTCAGAACCACTAAGGCCACTGGACAGCAGGTGATTCAATTGAACTGACATTTACCAATACTACATAATAAAGCACTGAGTTGATAGCTGAAAAAAATCTGAACGCTACATGCAGTTCAAAATAAATTTTAAAGTAAAAAAGAATAAAGCAATTTTAAAACTGAAATTAAAAATTTTGGAAATTAATGAAAATAAGAAACACTACAGTAAAACATATAAGTAGCAGCTAAAGTAAAACTCAAAGTAAAATTCAGTTTTAACGTTTTACTTATAAGCAAGAATACTAAAATTAAATACGCAATTATTTAAACGCAGAAGCTAGGGGGAAAAAACCTAAAGGCGATACAAATAACAAAGATAAAAGCAGAAATTAATTAGAAAACAAATGAAAATAGAATTAATAAATGAAGTCAAGGGGAGAGTATAGCTCAGCGGTAGAGTGTGTGCTTAGCACACACAAGGTCTGGGGTGCCGTCTCCAGCGTCTCCATTAAAGATAAATTAAAAAAATCTAATTACCACCCTTCCCCCAAATAAATAAATAAAATTAAGACTTGGTTCTTTAAAGTTAACAAAACCATGGCAAATCTAATGAAGAAAAACACAAAAGAGAAAGACAACGAATCTAAGTATTCAAAGAAAAAGAGAAGCTAAAGAGATATAAAAAGAATTTTTACAAAGAGAGACTATTTGGCATAATTTTATGCCAGTTATTTGGAAAGAAATTTGGAAGCCACAATTTTCTAGAAAGGAAAATATAATTCAGTAAGTGAAAGTAGTTACAGAGCAACTGTGTAGAGCTGGACGATGTACTCAGTGCTTTATATTCTTTCTCATTTAATTCTCAATTACTTTAATTAATTAATTTTGGGGTGTGTGTGGTTTTTTAGGTTTATCTACTAATTTTATTTTTTTAGAGGACGTACTGAGGATTGAACCTAGGACCTTGTACATGCTAAGCATGCGCTCTGCCACTTGAGCTATATCCTCCCCCTCTCAATTACTTTTAAAACAGGTACTATTTGTAAGCCTCATTTACAGATGAGGAAATTAGCCATGTTAAGTCACAGAGACAGCTGATAATGAAGAGGAGATCTATGACTTGAACGCAGGTATCGCACAGCGACTCGTGCTTGTCATCCACTTGGTTACACTACTGTAGAGAAAGAGAGATTAGCCCGGAAGCTGTGGGCACCAGGGCAGGCAAAACGGACCCAACAAGGGCACCAATGAGGCTAACACAAAAGCTCATTCAGATGGTGAAATAAGTGGAAAAGTAGCTGGGAAAAATTACGTACTAGAGTTGTACTAGGAAATGTAAAATTCACAAACGAAGAAATGGTAAGAAATAAATGTAAGCATCAGAGAGGATTCCAACAACTTTTTGAAACAAAACAAAAAAAGACTTCAAAGGTTATCAATTCAATGTTACTTAAAGTGTCCATATCAGAGTTGATTTAGTCTTCTGTTTTTCCCTCTAATTTTAGAATTCAAAAAAAATCTTATGTGCATTTCTTATAGGAGCTCACCGTGAGGCATCATGATATTAAAAGCACAATATTAAAAGAACAATCTCAAGTCAATAAAGGGTAAAAGTGAATCCCATGACAATCTGCTTAAGACAGCAAGGTCTCTGTAATGGCCTAAAAAATTTTAGAATTTAAGGAAATAACTTTTAGTTATCTATTAAGTTTATTCAGAGACTGGTCCACTTGCTATTGGTGCCAGATAAATGAGATGTAAGTAACCTTTACAGTACCTTTGATTTGGATTTCCCATTCTCTCTTGAGGAAGACATATCTTTGATTGCTTCTGGTGGCATATAATTAACGGTACCAACCTACTTGTCAAACAGATCACAGAGAACACGGATCAGTGGAAGTAATTCATTCTGTTTTAGATTTTTTTCAAAACACGAATGTCAGATTCTTGGAAACTTAGACAATGAGATTTCAGTAATATATCTGAAAAACTCAAGTAACTGACAAAAATACTAAGACACAAGTTTCTTTGCAACTCCAGCAAAATAAATTTGGTTCATAATCAGAAAATTGACTCCTTTCAGAATGTTGAGCTATTTCTAAGATTATGGTGGGCATCTACCATACAACTGTCCAGGATAAAATTATATTAATGGCCATAAACTTTGAAGGAATTGATTAAGCACTTATTTCTGTCCTGGAATAGACCAAGAACATTTTTCTAAACTCAACCAACCAACCAAAATCTAGCTTTGTCTCTAAGTATTCCCTGGGCTCATGTTCAAATAGAGATGGGATGTGTATCTAAATCATGCAACAATTTCCATAATAGGATTATGCCTACCTTACTATGAATTCATTCTATTCTAAAATAAACAGTTCTGCTTTCAAACACGGAATATCTGCACTTTAGAGCCTTCCCATAGAAGATGTCTTCAAGCTGATTTGCAACTAAATGTTCAGCCATATTTTTGATGTAAAAAGAAGTGACTATCAAACAGAATTGTTTAAAGGGCATGCTGTTCATCTGCTCCTAAAAAACCCTATGATTAAGGCAGATCCACATCAGAAATCTGGATACATGGAATATATGGTCTTGGCTCCAAGCAGGATTATTTTTAGTCCTTCTTTGGTTGTTATCATCTGTTTTTGGGGGGACAACTGCTACAGATACAGGCTTAGGCAGACACTCACATATATGCATACGTCTATGTCCTATGTGTATAACAGCACTTCACTGTACACATGAGGGTAGAGGAACCCCGTCTAGACATCCATCAATAGAAGATTGCTTATATAAATTATGCTTTGTCAAAAAAAAATTATGGTTTGTCAATATGCAGTCAAATCACAAACAAGGCTTTTCTATATGTGTAATTTTGTAAAACAATAAAAGTACATTGCAGAACAATTAAAAAAGATTGCTATTGCATATCCTATTATAAAAATGCAGTTGAGTACAGTATTTATTAATGTGCATCCAATATGAAGGCCCACTTGAGAATTTTTTTTCAAAGTTAAATGACAGGGAAAGCTTTACTTCTCTGCAAGAATGAAATAATATGACTTCAGGGGCAGTGAAAAACATGTAACTGCAATTCTCTTTGGTTGCTACCAGGAAACTGAGACAAACTGAGACTGCTATCAGGAAACTGAGACAGTTTCAGATGAATTTTAGATAATGACCAAGATGATTTCCAAGGCAAACATTACCACTTCTCTATCTCAGCTACAGGAAAATCATTCAAAATTGCTGGATGTATTTCTACTGGACCTTGACTTTCTATACTAAATTGTATTAATCATAGTTTTAATTTGTTTGTATAGTTATAGTATCTATTCTTGTAAAAAGGCTTCAAATCCTTTGAAAAATGAGGTAGGTAAAAATAAAATCCTCATTAGCAAAATAATACACACAAATAAAAAGGAACTGGACTCTACTGTGTGGTAACCAACCATCCATTAAGTCTTACCTGAGAGTCTTTAATAATACTTGTTGTATCTGGTTGCATTTGGTTTGCAATTCCAAAATCAATTAGCTTGAGCATTCCATCAACTATCAGAAAGTTAGCAGGTTTCAGATCACTGTGAACAATACCTTCAAAATAAAAATTCATTATAATATTAGACCATGTAAAATATTCTAAGCACAAAAAACTTCACAGTCTATTCACTGAGTTGATTCCTTTAGTCAATCAAATTTAGTATTTATTTTTAATATATTCTGCAAACATATAGCATCAGCTACGTGCCAGGCACTATTCTAAGTTTGTTGCTTGTACTGAATCATTTAACCCTCATACTAACACTGAGGTGAGTACTATTATTATCCCCATTTTTAGTTGAGGAAACGAAGGCAAAGAGTGTATGTAATTTGTTCAAGGTCACACAGCCTAAGAAACAGTGTCATGAATTGAACCCGTGTGGTCTGGTTTTCAGAGTGTATGCTCTTGACCACTGTGATTCACTGCCCACGAGAGACCTGCCAGATTACAGGACCTAGTGCTCCTGACACCTCCATCCTTACAGCCTGAACTTGACCACTGGTGAATTATCTTTTAACTCATAGGAAGGGAGACGCAAGGAGACAATTTACAATTATCCACATTAACAATTATTTAAAATAAAGATAAGATAAAGGTAAAGAAGCCCTAAAAAGAACCAAGACCAAGTAAAGTAAAACAACCAACCCAGAATGTAGAGCTTATAGTTAAAAAAAAAAACAACTCCCACAAAAAATACACAATACAAAATGACTAGGAGAATGAGTGAAATAAACACCTCCAATTTTCAGGATGCCTGAAACCCAAGGCCTCAGATCTGCTACAATCCAAGCATTTGGACACTCAGGATTATGGACTGTGTTAATACTGAGAAAGATTTTGTTATAGATGTTTTATGGATGTGGGGACTTGAGTTCATGCCCCATATTCTTTGCTTAAACAGTGTTTTAAAGAAATGGTTTTGCCCCATCATCTTTATTAAATAAACTTCCAAATATTTGGTTTATCTAGTCTAAAAGGGTCAATAACCAATTTAAAATTATAGGCTTATTTCTCTAAGATGAGACTATTAATAAATATTTTAATTTTAAATACGAAGAGATTTTTAAAATACCATGCTGATGAATTGTGTGAACTGCCTCCAACATATTTTTCCAGTAACTCTTCCGTTCCCATGGATCGATGGATTTTTTCTTTTTAAGCCAACTATTAAGATCAATATTTCCACACTCCATTACCATGTAGATGTACTGGTCCGTGATTTCACTGCCATTAAAAACAAACAAAAACAACAGAACAATAAACAGTTAGGTTATACTATTAAGACTTACTAAGTATTTATCTTAAGAATTAAAGCCAAGAAACAGTTTTCTTTTTAAATTAAAAAAAATTCTTACTAATCATAAAGTCGAATGATTTTATCACTATGTTGTTGTAGTTTATTCAAATAAGCAATTTCATTCCGGTAACTATCAATTGTTTGGCTATCTGCTTCTTCTAAGTTCACATATTTTATAGCATGTATCTGCTTCTTTTCATTCAACACCTGAAATACCTATAGAGCAGAACAAAGGAAGAAGTTTAGAATGCACTATTTACATATTGTCACAATATTTCTACATTTTTTAGAATCTTAGGTTAAGGATTATTGATGTGAATAATTTAAAATGTCTGGGCTTATTTTGAGTATAGAGGGGAAGAAACATGTTAGGAGAGTAATAGTACATTCTGAACTACCTACAATGATGGGCATTCAATGACTCATAGGCATAAACTAAAATATTTCTGAATCAATATATAAGAAAGGCGATTTAAATTTCATATACATTCCTAACACTCTGTTAGATGCTACAACCAGGGAAATAACCTTAGAAAAAGACATTAAAAAATGCTAAAGACTAAGGGCTGTAATAAAGAGTCAGTTCATTTCTTAGATAGTGTTTATTCCATTTCATTTATGTGGTAGAGAATATTTCAAAATATGCACTAATTGTAAGCTATCAGTAATGCTTGGTCGTAAAAAGCAGATCAGGTCCAATTTTCAAAATCAACCTGACAGGAACAAGATGGTCCTGTAAGCATGCTGAGGTCCAGGTCAAACTGCTCTGGCTGTAATGACAGTCAAACTCAAAGCAGTATCGATAGGGCAGATATATATATATATATATATAAATATATATATATAAAAATAATACATTTAGAAAAGATAACACAGTTCGAAAACACTGCGAATGTGTCTAACTTTCAGCAAACACACAGCAGGAATGGGGCTTCTAAAATGCAAGAATTCAAATACAAAATGCCAGTGCAAGCAAGAAAAATTATATTCATTCATCTCTTTTGACACATTGAAGTAAAACATCATTTATCTGAAGGCCATCTAACCTTGACTACCCAGCAGATACTGGCAAGGAACAAGAAAAAAGCCAAAGTGTTTATGAGGTTCATGCATTGCAACTGCACTGATAAGCAGAATCCATCAGGCTGGCAGGTACAGCTTAGTTCCTTCTATTTTAAATGCAAAACTCTACCAAAGTATTATTGGTTTTACTTGCACACAAAACAAATTAGAGGGGGAAGGGCATAAAACAGTGATAGGGCAAGAGGCACAGAAAATAGCAAGGAAAGAGAAAAGTAATTTTAGAACAGCATGAAGTCATTTTGTATAAGGTAAACAACGTTATAAATCTCAGAGAACTGAGAGTATCTACTATTCTGTTTTAATACAATTAAAACGTTGTTAGCAGTACCTACCATACTGGGTTGGAAGGATGACTGAGGTGATGTGTTTGGAGTGGAGCAAATGTTAGCTACCATCATTGAAGACAATTAGGACAGAAGAAGGTGGATGTTTCAAAACATATTGAAGTTGTTAGGCATATGGGAAAAAAAGATTTGTAGGGTATTAAAGATCTTCAAAAGTTTTGAGTAAATGAAAACTTTTAAATCAACTTTTTGCATTATATGCTTTTACTCCATTATTGCTCTGCTCCAGCAAAACTCTTGCAATAACTGATGAGATGGATTAGGGAGCCTTTATTTCCATTTCAGAGATAGTGTCAGAGTTATAATTTGTCAGTTTCATGGAAAGTTAATGAATGAACTAGAAACGTCGGCGCTTTGACCATTCCTATTAGGTCCATGACTTTTTTTTATTTGTGTGTGTATATATATGTGTGTGTGTGTGTGTGTCTATCTATATACATGTATGTGTATATATATGAATATATATTTAATGAAGTATAGTTTACAATGTTGTGTCAATTTCTGGTGTACAGCGCAATGTTTCAGTCATACACAAACACACATATATTCGTTTTTATATTCTTTTTCAACATAAGTTACTACAAGATACTGAATATAGTTCCCTGTGCTATACGGTGTAAACTTGTTGTTTATCTATTTTAGATACCGTATAAGCTGGTCATTGTCTAAATTCTAGACTAGACAGAGGATAATGGTGTTAGTTTCATTAGGCATGTTACCCTCTTTCCCCTGAGGCAGGATGATTTTGTCAATGCCATCACAAGAATGAAACAATAATTTTATTGCACTAAGAAAATATGGGCCAGTCATAGCTTTGTCACTTGGCCCTTGACTTTAGTAAGCTTACACCTTCATTAACCGCCAAGGAAAAATATTTCAAACACTGTTAAGATTATTCTACATCTTCTGAAGACATGCTACTAAATAAATAAATATGTTGATAAAAATCAGTTGCATTGTCCCTTTATTGCCACACCTAAAATGTGGGGCAAGGGAAAGAACAAAGGAAGTATGCAGAAAAGAAACTGATACTATTGAACAATAGCTACACGTGGTAATGAACACACCTTATTCATAAATCACAGTAAACCTTAAAATGAACCCAGCAGGCTTTGTTTCAGATATCATCCTTGACAACTTAGAGTAGGGAAACACCTGAGGAGAGACAGTCCATTCACTCAACAAATTCCTCAGGCTCTGCTGTGTTGGAGGCACTGTTCTAGACAATGCAGCAAACATCGGTGAGCAAACCACACAAACATCCCTATCTCGATGGAACTCACAGTCAAGTGCAAGGGGACACAAACAACAAAACCAAATAAGTGAATTACAGAGCACATTGGAAGATCAGCTACAGAGAAAAATAAGGCAGGAGAGGGGAATGGAGCTCAGTGCTGACTGGAAGGCAGGAGCTGCAGTTTTAGAATGCGGTCAACAAAGGCCTGATTGAGAGGACACTTGAGCAAACATGTGAGGACATGTGGAGGAAAATCAACTCTTACGTTAAAATAGAGCAGGAGAGCAAGGGCTGATTCAGTGAGACTGGTTAGAAGGCTATTGTAACAATCCAGGTAAAAGATGAAGTTGCTTTGGCCAAAGCGATAATGGTGAAGGTAGTGAGGAACAGTGAGATTCTGGTTGGTTTTGAGGTAGAATCAACAAGATTGCTGATTGGCTAGACGAAGGTGTGAGAGTAAGTGGAGTCAATGTTGACCTCAGTGTTTTGGGCCTGGCAATTGGAAGAATGAAGTTGCCAATTTACTGAAATGGCAAAGACTATGAAGCAAGAGTTCTGCTTGGGATATACTAAGTTCTAAATATCTCACAGACACCCAGAAAGAGATGCTGGGCAGTCAAGTTGGATATGCAAGTCTGGAATTCAAAAGAGAAGTTTGAGAATTATCAGCACAAACATGGTATGTAAAACCATGAGACTGGATAAGAGCAGCAAGTGGGTGAGTGAGTTTAGAGAGAAGAAAAGAGGTCAAGGGCTGAGCTCAAAGGCATTGCACCACTGACATCAGGGACATGAGGAAGACAGGAAAGGGAACGGCCAACTGGAGAAGAGGAACACTGAAAGAGGCCAAGTGGAAAAAAAACCTTCAACGAGAAAAGAATAATCGACTGTCCCAAATGCTAATAAGTAAACTAGAACCAAAGTTAATTAGTTTTGGCAAAAATATGGAGGTCACTGGTGATTCTGATAACAGTTGTTTTGGTGAGTAATAAAGGTAAAAGTAAAACTCTGATTTACATGGATTTAAGAGGATAGAATGAGAAGAACTGAAGATGGTAAGTTTAGACAATACTCTTAAGATGCCTTCCCTCCAGAGAATCAGAACCATATAAATTTAGAACTCAGATAAATTTAGGAAATGATCTATTTCAATTCGAGAAATCCATTTGTTACTAAACTCTTTATGAAATGAGAAACTCAAAACAAAACCCATTAATCAAAAACTCTGCTAAATCATCCTAGGCATATTAATTATTTATATCACAGTCTGACTTACTTTTAGAAAGGTTCTTTTGGGATGATACATAGCTATCATTTGCTATCCCCAAGTCAATGTTAATGTTATTTAGAGATGAAATATGGAATCATAGGATACTGCAGAGAAGAACAGGGAACTGGAAGTGAGAGACAGGTCTGAAGAAATACACCATTTGTTGAGGGGAGGGGATGGGAGAAGGGGATAAGAGGGACTTTTTTGCTCAAGGGAAATACGGGTCTCTAGAAGTTAAGAAAAAGGACCCAGAAGATAAAAAGACAAAGAAACTGAAGTTTAAAATATTTTTATTCATTCCTTATTTAAAATACTTACCTTACTTGAACCTCCACTTCCTATCTGCTTCAATATGGAATATATTTTTCCTTTAACCGAAATGCATTCATTTGTTGAAGAGGACGCTGAAATCTAAATAATTAAAATATATAGTCAAAGATTCAAAGAACATGCTTGAGAAACTAGCTTGCATTAGTACAGTGAAATGCTTCCAATTTTGAAATTATCTGAAATCTTAAGTAATTAGATATGTCCCAATATTTTAAAGAGGCAATTTACTGTACATACTTTAGCCAAAGAAAAAAACTTATTAAATGAATATATAGGCAAAGTTCCAAAGACTGGCCATCTAACTTGCCTTTACTTCTTAACATAAATACATAAATAGAAAACTTAAGGGGAGAAAAACTCACTTAATATCCAACATACCAACTCATAAGCCATTACTTTTCATCTTTCTTATCTATTCTTTTTTCTTACACAAAGTTCTTTACTTACATATATTAACAGAACTTCATCTATACTTTTTTCTCATTTAGGATTACATTATAAAGGAAGCAGCGTGCTAAGGTCCTAAGAGTTCCAGCGTCAATCAGACAAATGCAAATTTCAGCGATGTCCCCTTTTTGCTGGGTGATATTCAGTAAGTTGATTAATTTGAATGTCAGCATCTTCCTCAGCAAACTCTCAGCCGATGTATTATACAGTGTGCCCCTTCTTCCCTTCCCTGATGCTAAAGCTCTCTGTGGACCTACAGATGCTTTCAACGGGTGGAGTGCTGTGAGGACTTATTCTGAGCTGTCAAGGAAGCTGAAGACACAGAGAGGCCCTGAGTAGCTGACTGACCAAGTTGAAACAAGGTCTGAATAAACCTCATTCAACCAAGTCCTGCTTTAGATCTCAATTGTAGACTATTTCTCACGTGCTCTCCTTCTATATCATATAGAAGATAAGGATTCTAATTTCTTTAACTGCCAGGGTTGAAAGAAAGACCCTGTTGAGTCATGAAACATGTGTTCTCTAAGAGTGCGTTAGGCTTTGAAATATGTACCCCTTATTTTTCACTGAGTTGTAATTTCAGCAGGGGTCTTTGCTACCCTCTCCCCACTCTTCCTTTTGGAGCTTCCTCTTGTCCTTAAGCTGAACATTTCTGAGAGGGAAGAAAGCAGTTCAACATCCTTCCACCTAACTGCTGACAGTTTTTGGAATAAAGTAATTCTGACTCAACACCAACATGAAGTCCGGTTTCCTACAGGGGACATCCCCCAAGCCTTCGCATCGTCTTCACTGTGGCCAGAGGGATTTACTCCAAATGCAAATAAGATCATTTCACTTCCCTGCTCCCACCCGATCCACAGCTTCCCATCCCTTTTAGGGTAAAACATAAAGGGCCCTGCAGAACCGTCAGGATCACCCCTGCTCCTTCCTGAGCTGACCACACTCCAGCCTCTTTTCAATTTCCTCCAGACACTGGTTTCTCGGCCCTTCACTTGGTCATGTCTGGCTTGACATTTAGATTTCAACCCAAACAGGGCCTGACATGAGTGATAGCTCAATAAAGGTGTTCTGAATCAATGTATGGGCAAACCTGATCCTCTTTCTCTGTCTCCTTTGTAATTTATTATACTGCTGATTCAACACTCAAAACACTATTACCTCTTTCCATAATTAGTATAACCTATTGGCAGCTAATTTTTTTTGTTCCATTATTGAAAAAACTGTGGTAAAATTTATATAACATAAAATTTACCATTTTAATCATTTTTAAGTATACAATTCAGAGGCATTAAATACATTCACACTGTTGTGCAACCATTATCAGCATCCATCTCCCAAACTTCTCACCATCTTCTATTGAAATTCTACACCCATTAAGCAATAACTCCCATTTCTCCCTCCCTCCCTCAAGCCCCTGGCAACAACTGTTCTACTTTCTGTCAGCTAATTTTTTAATTTCTTGATTAAAATCTCTTGATTAGTTAACTACTTGTGGTTTGTTTGGGTTTTTTTGTTCTATTAAACAATTTCTACTAACTTTTATTATTTACTAAACATCAGGCTCTGTTGTAAGGGTTACATATATATTAACTAATTTAATCTTCACACTCATCCTATGGGGTAGATAGCTTTATTATCCTTATTTTATAGATGAGGAAATGGACACAGGGAGTTTAATTAACTTGCAAAAGGTCACATAGCTGGTAAGTAATGAGGCCGAGTCAAGACCAGGCAGTTTCTCTTCAAAGCTATACTTTCTACCAATATTAAGCTGCTACTCAAGTAGTTATTATAAGCTAACTTTAGTATTAATGTCAAGAGAGTGCCTAAACATGTTTCTTCCAGATGGCAATGCAAGTGCCTCGCCAGTAAACATTTTATCTTATTTTATAATAATTACTTTATAATATATTCAAATAGCATCCAATATTTCTATTCTGATATCCTTAAAAATTTACTTGTATATTAATCAGATAATGAAATAAGGCTGCTCTCTACCAGCTGGCTTACATAGTTAAATGGAATAAAAAAAAACCCTAGATTACAAAATAACTTCTATCTAGTGATTCAAACTAGATACTTTGGGTTAGTTAATGGAAAAAGCTTAATTAGCTTCTTCAGTAACTAACCGCTCAAACATAAGGGACCCTTATGAGGATATCAGAAATGAGTTTTGCCTGATGGGACTAAGAATGGACAAGTCCTTAGCACCTTTCTCAACAATTAGATGCTGTAAAGATAAAATCTTTGAAATTGCTCATAACTTAAATTATACCATCATAAATAAAGCTTATCAAACCTGTAAATTTTGAAGTGGTGTAACAGGAATTTGCTGCTGTTGCTGCTGGAAATAGGCAAGTTGGCTATACGGTGTTGATAACTGACAAGCAGGTGGAAAGTCATTCTTTACAACTGGAGTTCTAAAACTAGTAAAGATATTTTAAAAATTTAAAACATTAAAGTTTTAACAACAAGATTGTGACTCAGATTTTGTATGCTTTAAAAAGGTAGATACCAATTTAAATGTGTTACATCAAGCAGAATCCAAGTCAATTTTCAAAATACAGCTGAATTATTTATCCTAGATACACCATCACCAAAAATTTCATTTTGGGGAATTCTTTCTTAAGCAAGAAAGAATTCTTGTTTTTTCGCAGACAAGAAATTCTTATCATTAAAATACATAAGATGGCATTTAAAATATGGAGTTGGAGTTATTTGATAAGAATTTAGCCAAGGCAAAGCTCAGCCTAAGCCAATCATGGGATTTTATAAATGCTTTTCAACAATAATGTTCTATAACCACCAATGGAAGTATCTGAAAGCCAATTACATCAGAGGAGTTTGGCCTTTGAGCATAAAGCTGTTCAGCTCACATTTGTGCTTTGCTTGTCTTATTCACTACTGTATCTTCTAAATCAAGAACAGTGCTTGATACAAAGGAATTCTACAAATATCTGTTGCCACTAAACTAACTTCACAAGAAATAACTACACCACTATTTTAGTTAGCAGTCATTCTTTAAAATATTCTAAGTATATGAAAATGAGGTAATATAAAGCAAAATTGTATTAAGTAAGAGACTTGGTTATAAAACCCCAAGGCCAGTTCTAAGATCAAGCATTACATTAAGAAAATGAAAAGCAAAAGGCATCATGGACTCCAGTAATCCTCTAAGACATTAAAAAATACATTAAAAATATAGCTACTAGTTGAAGGAAGTGCTATGCTACATCCCTTTTTTTCTTCCTTTGAAATGCCATTAACTGGCTTTTGCAATATCCTTTGTGTTCTCTGTCAATCAGTACCGACTATCCAACTTCTTCACTCACCCCTCCCTGCCACCCTCTCCAGTTTTGAACACCACCAGAACTATGTGACCCAGACCACCAACCTCTCTCGGAAACCGTCACCCTCTAATCAACATCTCCTTTGCTATAAAATATATCCACCCTTTATCAGCTGTAAGAATGTTAACCTTTAAAATCTCTCTCTCAGTTACACAGAGGTATCTATGCAGCAATGCATGATCATCAAGAAGTTCTGCAGACTTAAAGTATTTATAGGTACTGCCTATAGACATATACGTATAAAAGTATAGAGCATATCACATAGGACAGAGATTATCACAACAATCCTTAAAAATATATTCATAGTCACCTTCCTCTGCCCTTTTACTGATGAAAAACCTGATGCTGAGAAAAATAACAGGAATTCAAAGTCTTTACAGTGGCAGAGCAGTATACACTTCCAGATCTGTCTGGTCCCAAAGCCCCTGTTATTTTTATAGTACCAAGCTAAGAACCAAAAGTAATTACCAGCTCATGTAATCATCCAAGGCACTGTTGCTGGGTGTCTTACAAATAGATTTGGGGTTAATCCATTTAGGTGTCGATATTGGTGGTGACTGTTTTGAAACTGAAAAGGCAGGTTGCTCAAAAGTGGTTTGTTTCTGCTAAACCAAAATAAAAAAATAATCATGATTTAGGGCTTTTAATTAGCCACCTATAAACAGTCTCACAGACATTATAACTTCTAAAAGAAAGTAAAAATATGAAATACAAAAGCATGCTAAAATAGACATATATATTCCAGACTTTCAATAACTTTTTAGTATAGCTCTTTTACTCTAAATTCTGAAGCCTGCTTTATTTTGCTCAAAGAGATTACAAGTAGAGGGAAAGCAAGAGCAGCGTTTAACAAAACAGGATCTAATATCCTCTCTCATCAAGGCTATTGTAATTAGCATTGAACTTTTATTATCTTAACAAGTACTCTTGGGAGTACCTATAAGGGAACAACAATTAGAATGGCAACTGATTTTCCGTTAGAAACCATGGAGGCCAGAAGAAAGTGTCGTGACATTTTTCAGGTGCTGAAAGAAAAAAACTGTAAACCCAGAATACTATATCCAGTAAAATATCCTCCAGAAATGAAGAGGAAATAAAAACATTCTCAGATAAGAAAAACTAAAAGAAATTGTTGCCAGCAGACTTACTTTATAAGAATGGCTTAAAAACTTCTCTAAACAGAAAGAAAAAGATGAAAGACTTGGAACATCAGAAAAAAAGAAAGGGGACAGTAAACTAAAAACGTGGGTGAATACAATAGGTTTCTCTTTTCTTCTTCAGTTTTCTAAGTTAATGATTAAAGGAAACATATCAAAAAACAAAAACAAAAACAAAAAAAACAAGTACTCTGTGCTTCTGAAAACTAGTCTCTCTTTAACCAATAAAACTATATTCCCTACTTTTATGTCTGGAGGGAAAATGGCCAAATACTAATGATTTAACAAAATCTGAAATGGCAAACACCTATCAAGTGTTCTTCTCCCTTGTAAGAGACATAAACCTTGTAGAATTTATGTTATACAAGTCCCAAAGCAGTAATGACGAATGAACATCGTCTACTGCAGATCAGCAAATTACAGCCCTAGGCTGAATCTGGCCTGCCGCCTGTTTTATAAATAAAGTTGTATTAGAGCACGGTCCATTTGTTTACATATTGTCTATGGCTGTTTTCATGTGACAATGGCAGAGTTCAGTAGTTGCACCAGCGACCATCTGGCCTGCAAAGGCCACGGAGCTTTTACAGAAAAATTTTGCCAAGCCCTGCAAACCATATTTTGCTTGAATGCTATTAGTAACTGAGTGCTCACTACTGCTTACGGAAGTTCAACTTCAATTTGGGGACAGCTTTAGTTATTAGAAAGTATTCACAGATACTGGATTAATTCAGTTTCTTTATTATATTTTCAACCCACTGGTCCACGTTATGCTCTGGAGAACCACAGTGGAGAAATCTACACTGCTTTGAACATTTCAGCCCCTTGAGTTTTTGAAGATATCTAGTATGGCCACTGTATCTCTTTTCCTGGATAAATTGTCCATTTCATTTAAGATTTCCTCACCTATACATATTTGGAATAGTGGTCAGGAAAAACTGCGGTAGTAAGATTATTAAGCAAGGAAAGTAAAGATTGTAGTCAGAGTGGATGTTTGCCTTTGAGATTCTGGAGATCAGAATTGAGGATACAAGAATGGGAAGCTAAGGTGAAATTAAGAAACTGGTCACGAGGGAGGAAGAAGTTATGGATTTGGAGGTCAGGTGTAGGACTAGTGATAACACAGGGGTATAGAAGTTAACAAAAAAGGATGGCAGCCCATCCTTCAGTTGGGATGAAGTTGAAGGAAGTGATCCAGAGCCTGATATTTTCAAAGACTGATGGGGAGTCGCTAGGATGTTCAGAGATGATGGCAACAAGCAGCTAAGAGGATGGTATATCCGAAAGGCAGAAGCTTCAAAAGGGCAGGGTTTTTGCAAGAGAGGAAATGATCTGGATATAACTATGGGGAGCTTGCAGCAGGTAAGTGAGAAGTGAGACAAAACAGCCTGCACTTGAGAGAGTGGCTGGAAAAGCAGCGACCTTGGGAAACTGCCTAGTTTTTCTCTTTTTTCCCTAAGTGTACCATTCAGTGTTTTTTAATATATTCACAAGAGTATGCAATCATCACCCCTATTTAATTACAGAACATTTTCATCATCCTAAGAAGAAACTCTGTATTAGTAGTCACCCAGGTTCTGGCAACCACTAATCTACTTTTGGTCTCTGCAGATTTGCCTATTCTGGATATTTCTTATAAAAGGGATCACAAAATATATGGCCTTTTGTGACAGGCTTATATCACTTAGCATGTTTTCAAGGTTCATCCATGTTGTAACATCTATCAATACTTCATTACTTTTAATTGTTGAATAATAAAATGAAGTAATAAAATCAGAGAACCACATTTTGCTTATTCACTCACCAGCTGATAGATATTTGGGTTACTTTTACATTTTGGCAATTATGAATAATGCTACTGTGAACATTCATGTACAAGTTTTTGTGTAGATCTATATTTTCAATTTTCTTCAGTATATAACTAGGAGTGGAATTGTGGGATGACACAGGAAAACTGTATGTTTAACCTTTTGAGGAACTGCCATACCATTTTCCAAGTGATTGTACCATTTTACATTCTCACCAACAGTGTATGAAGGTTCCAGTTTGTCCACATCTTCACAAACACTTATTATTGTCAATTTTCAATTACAATCATCTTGGTGTGTGGGAAATGGTATCTCATTGTGGTTTTGATTTGCATCTCCCTAATGGCAAATAAATAGTTTTGAGTCCCTTTACCATCCTATTGGTTTACAAGATGTAAAAAGAAAAAAAGAAGAGATGCTCTTTGTCCATGATTCAACCTGTCAGGATGCATCTCACCTAACATTTGTTATCTACTCCACTGCTTAGATCAATAGTTCTCAAAGAGTAATCCAGGAATAGCAAAAGGAGGGGGATTCCTAAGATCCTTTCAGGGAGTCTGAGAGGTTAAAACTATTTCCATAGTCAGACTAAGACATTACTTGCCCTTTTCATTTTCATGCTTTCATGAGTATGTACTGGAGTTTCCCCAAGGCTATAAAGCATGTGATAATGAAATAGATTGTATGGAAAAGCAGATATTAAAAAATCCAGTCTTCTGTTAAGCCAACCATTAAATAAATTATAAAAAATATAAAACAGTATCACTCTCTTCACTATGATTATTTTATTTTGAAAAATGTTTATTTTTCAGAGGGAACATATCTCAACATAATAAAGGCCACGTATGATAAACCCACAGCATCATACTCAATGGTGAAAAGATGAAAGCTTTTCTTATAGGATCATGAACAAGACAAGGATGCCCACTCTCACTATTTTTACTCAACCCAGTATTGAAGTCCTAGCCACAGCAACTAAGCAAGAAGCAAAAATTAAAGAAATCCAAACTGAAAAGGAGGAAATAAAACTATTGCACTATTTGCAGATGACATGATATTATATACAGAAAACTCTAAAAACTCTACCAAAAACTGTTAGAAATAATTAGCAAATTCAGTAAAGTTGCAGGACACAAAATCAACATACAAAAGTCTGCTACACTTCTATACACTAATAACTATCAGGAAAAGAAATGAAGAAAACAATCTCATCAAAAAGACTGAAATACCTAAGAATAAATTTAAGTAAGGAGATAAAAGACTAGTACATAGAAAACTATAAGACACTGATGGCAGAAATTGAGGACACAAATAATAGAAAGATATTCTGTGCTCATGGATTAGAAGAATATTGTTAAAATGTTCACACTACACAAAGCAGTCTACTGATTCAATGCAATCCCTATCAAAATCCCAATGGCATTTTCCACAGAACTATCCTAAAATTCATATGGAACCACAGAAAACCCTGAATAGCCAAAGCAATCTTGAGAAAGAAAAACAAAGCTGAAGACATCATGTTCCCTGATTTCAAACCATATTATAAAGCTGTAGTAATCAAGACAGTATGGTATTGGCATAAAAAAAAGACACACAGATCAATGGAACAGAATAAAGAGCCCAGGAACAAACTCAAAGACATAAGGTAAATTAATTTACAACAGTCAAAAATATACAATGGGAAAAACCTGGAGAGCCACATGCAAAAGAACGAAACTGGACTACTTTCTAACATCACACACAAAGATTAACTCAAAATGAATTAACGACTTGAATGTAAGACATGAAAACATAAAAATTCTAGAAGAAAACATAGGCTGTAAGTTCCTTAAGACAGGTCTTAGCAATGATTTTTGGATCTGACACCAAAAGCAAAGACAACAAAAGCAAAAATAAGTGGGACCACATCAGTCTAAAAAGCTTCTGCCCAGCAAAGAAAACCATCAACAAAATGAAAAGACAATCTATGGAATAAGAGAAAATATTTGCAGACTACTATCCAATAAGGGGCTAATATACAAAATACACAGTGAACTCATACAACTAAAAGTCAACCAATTTAAAAATGGACAAAGGACCTGATTAGATATTTTTCCATAGAAGATATGCAAATAGCCAACAGATATATGAAGAGATCCTCTACATCACTAATCAGGGAAATGCAAAAATAAACAAAGGGGATTTAGTTCAACTTAAAAGATTTTACACATTAAAGGAAACCATAATTCAAATGAAAAGACAACATACGGAATGGGAGAAAATATTTGCAAACTATGTGACTGACAAGGGATTAATTTCCAAAACATACATACAGCTCATATAGATTAATATCAAAAAACAAACCCAACCCAATAAAAAAAATGGGCAGAAGATCAAAATAGATATTTCTACAGAGAAGACATACAGATACCCAGCAGGCACATGGAAGGATGCTCAACATTGCTAACTATTAGAGAAAAATCAAATCAAAACCACAATGAAGTTATCACCTTACATTGTTCAGAATGGCCATCATCAAAAAGTCTACAAATACTAAATGCTGGAGAGGGTGTGGAGAAAAAGGAACCATCTTATTCTGTTAGTGGGAATGTAAATTGGTGCAGCCACTATACAGAATGGTATGGAGGTTCCCTAAAAAACTAAAAATAACTACCATATATATGCTCCAGCAACCCCACTCCTGGGCATGTATCCGGGAAAAACAAAAAAATTTGAAAAGATATACGCATCCCAATGTTCACTGCAGCACTATTTACAGTTGCCGAGACATGGAAGCTATCTAAATGTCCATCAACAGATGAATGGATAAAGGAGATGTGGTGTATATGTATAATGGGATGTTACTCAGCCATAAAAAACGAATGAAATAATGCCATTTGCAACAATACAGATGGACCGAGAGATGATCATATTAAGTGAAGTCAGATAGAGAAAAACAAATATTACATATCATTTATATGTAAAATCTAAAACAATGATACAAATGAACTTATTTACAAAACAGAACTGCATTCACAGACATAGAAAAGAAACTTATGGTTACCAAAGCAGAAAGGAGTGGGGGATAATGGAAACTGGGATTAACAGATACACACTACTATACGTAAAATGGATAAACAACAAGGACCTCTGTACAGCACAAGGGACTATATTCAGTATCTTGTAATAACCTATAATGGAAAAGAATCTGAAAAAGAACACATAAATGTATAACTGAATCACTTTGCTATACACCTGAAACATTGTATATCAACTATACTTCAATAAAAAAATTTAAGAAAAAATTGTAATAAACTTGTTGCATATGAATATAGACACATTTTTATGAAAATAAGTATTTTGTTTTACTGAGAATATAACTGAAAAGTAAGAATGAGGAAAGTATAGGCATGGACTATATACAGGTATGGTGCTCCAGTAGTCTACCAGATCATTCCCTCTGAAATGGAAAATGGACCCTAGTCACTGGGAATGATCATTCAGCCTGTTATGATTCACTTTGTCTACTGTATATTTCTCTATTTTATCCATGAGGATGACAATAGGAAATTGTCAAATGTTTGGTAAAGCATTGCACTGGTTCAGGGATCAGCATGTGGTTTTCTATAAAAGGCAAGATAGCAAACTTTTTAGCTGTATAGGCCAGATGGTCTCTGTTGCAATTTTTTAGCATTGCTGTTACAGTTCAAAAGTAGGCATAGACAGTAAGTAAATAAATGGGCATGGCTGTGTTCCAATAAAACACTGTTTACGGACAGGCTGGAAACTAGATTTGACTCATAGGCTGTTGTTTGCTAACGCCCTTACCAGTCTACCAGCAATCTAGAACTACTATTGACAATAGAAAGGAACTTAGCCTGACATACAATCTTACTAAACCTATGACTGATCATTATTTTATGAATTAGGAAAAAAAAAATAGAGCAAGCATCATTTAAGTAAACTACTCCATTAAGTGTAGTGCATAAAGATTTAATGAAAGGAGGAAACATTTAACACGATTCACATTATGAACAATGGCAATGTTACGCTTGAGGAAGAAAAGGAAGTTACCTCTGTGTCAACTTTTTGAATCATCTCTGGAATCTGCCACTGATTTGAAGATGCAGCAGGATTCTGGCTTACACATTCTGACTTTCTCTTAGATTGCCATTGTCTCTGGTTATTTTCAGGAACCTTTGGTTCTTGATGTTCTTTGGTTTCTGAAATTGTATTTGTTGTTGTCATTAAAAGGAAAGAATATTTAACAACAAAATTAAACCTACCAATACAACAGGTTAGCCTTTTACTGTGAAAAATAAAGAGAGAAACTAAAAATTTTAAGCCAGCTGCTGATAATTAGCTTTCAGCAGGAAACTTCTACAAAGCTCCAACAGCCACCTTCCTAGATTGTTACCTAGAGCTGATTATCAGAGACCATTTTGAATTCAAATGCTCTGGTCTTTATCAGAAAACAAAGAAACAAATACAAATTAAAAAACATATATGTCATAAAGTCTTACTAATAAAGAGAAGCCAATGTACCACTTTTGACAGACCTCTAGTTTTTCAACAAAAATTTTACCTTAAACTAGCCTTTAATTTACTTTCTTAAGGGTCTCTGAATAAAAGCCTCAACAATATATTTACTATTTTATGAACTGTTCCTATCACAATAGACGCAAAAATTCTGAACAAAATATTTATAACTGATATACAAAAGGTGTAAGTTACACTAACTTGTGTTTATTTCTAAATGCAAAGTTTACTTAACACTTGTAAGTTAATTTGCCATAATAATAGAGAAGAAAAGCGTATGATCAACTCAACAAATGCAGAAAAAGCATTTGATAAAAATCATACCCAGTAATAAAAAAACTAATGTTAATCTAGATACAAAGCAAAACTCACTCTGTTTTGATACTTGATAAAGAACACCTATAAGAATGTAAGGCAGTTATCATACGGGGTAAAATATTGAAAGTCTCTCTAAAATGAGGAAGAACAAAAAAGCCACCTATCATTACTTCTATTCCTATTATACTAGACGTGTAAGTGTATTACAGCAAAGAAAAGAAATGAAAGTTAAAAGGATTGAAAGAGAAAAACGGTGTATTATTTTCAAACAACATGAAAGAATTCATGGAAAATATTAGAATTGTTCAGTGATTTTAGCAATGTCACTGTAAATACGATCAATAACTATAAATCAGTGGTATTTTTATAATACCAGCAACAAAGCAGAGGATAAAATTTTTTTAAAAAATCCTATTCACTATCATAGCATCAAAAAAATCAGGTATCTAGGCATATCTCTAACAAAAGATAAGCAAAATCTCTACACAGGAAACAACTTTTTTCAATAATGTTTCAAGGACTACTTAAATGAATGAAGGGATATGCCAGGTTAGTGGACTAGAAAATTTATCTGTTAGGATATCAACTTGTCCCACTAGGTCTCAAATCAAAATCTCATTAAAAGAAAAAAAAGGAATCTGACAGATTCTAATATTACATGGAAATCCAAAAGGCCTAGAATACCTAAAATAGCCTCGACAAAGAATGAAGTTATAAGATTTACACTGGCAGATGTGAAGACTTACTGCAGTAGTTAAGACAGCATTATCACAAAGACACAAAGGACTACGCAAAAGAGAAGAATCCAAAACCAGGTATCACACATAGGATCATCTAACTTACAACAATTCACTGAGGGAAAAAAGGGTCTTTTCAATAAATGTTGCTGTATATCGACATGGGGTTAAAAAATGAATCTTGATGCTTGATCTTAATTTACATAAATATTAAATTCAGGTAGATTGTAAATCTAAATGTGAAAGGTAAAATGATGTCGTCCAAAATATATGGAATATTTTTATGATCTTGGATAGGAAAAGACTGGACTCCCCATAGAGGAAAAGACTGACAGATTAAAACACATGATAATTAAGAATTTCTTTTCATCAAGTCTTCACCACATAATGGGAGAAGTTACTTGTAACACATATAGTCAAGAAAGTATTTGTATGTAGACCATATAAATATCACCTAAAAATCAATGAGAAAAAGAAAGAAAACCCAACAGAAAAGAAAACCCAAAAGAAAACCCAATGAGAAAAAACAGAAAACCCAACAAGCACTTCACAAGTGGATGCCCAAGGGGTCATTAAACACAAAAAGCTGTGCAATATCAATAGACACCAAGGAAATGCAAATTAAAACCACAATAAGCAGGATCAGAATGTCTAACATTAGAAACTAACAATAAAATTCTTGGGGAGACTATGAGCAAGACCAACAACTGCTGGTCAAACACAGCACTTTGGAAACTGGCACTATCGACAAGCTGAACGTATGCACATCCTGTGACCCAACAACCCCTGTCTGAATACGCTCGACAGAAATGAGTGTGAAAGAGATGATGTTCCATTGGGCTATCAGGCTATACGGCTATACTCTTATGATGATTTGGGCAGTTTTCTGACTGGAAGTTTTACTGTGCAATAAAGTATCCTTGACACACTGTAGATACTCAAGAAGCATTCACTTAAGAGACATGAAAGTAGGTGCCAGGCTATTACTATAAACAAGCATGTTTGATAAAGATGACTTTTCAATCATACCAATTTATAATAGATGCTATAAAAACATAAAATACAACAGTTTCCCCCAAATACTAGGAATAGGAGTCCATAGTTAGTCCTCTGAGTTCACAGGTTCCAAAGGGCTGACTATACTACACGACTTTATAAAAGGGACGTGAGCATCCTAGGATTTGGTATGTGTGAGGCTCCTGGAAACAATCCCCTGTGGATATCGAGGGATATATTCCTCATCAAAAGAATGATATCCCGGTCTGCAGGGATTGAGGGCTTTCCTGAAACATGGGACTTTCAGGGCTAAAACCAGGAAAGTCCCAGGGAAACCACGAGTCTGGGTCAAGCTTAATTTTGTCCCAGTGTGCCTTCTCAGTCCAATTAAAAAAAAAAATTACACCCAATCTGGCAACCTTTGTTTGGACAATAATCATCCAATTCATGAATGATCCTATTCAAAAATCTTTGATGGTATTCTAACATCTAAAAAAAAGGTAAGCCTGGCATTCAACGTTTACCTAGTCTTATCTCCCACTTCCATACCACCTGTGTTACAGTCTTCAGCATAATTAGATCATCTTTTGTTCCTAGAATGCTTTATTCTTTTTGCTTATGCTATTCCTTCCATCTGATATACTCTATCACTGCTATTTCTTCCTATTTAAACCCTAACAGTTCTCTACATGTCTTCTCCCCCACAAACTATTTCCTTATTTCCCCTAAACCAAACTAGTTCCTCAGACTTCTCCTTCCTCTGAGTCCTCATAGCATTTAATTGATGTGGTTCTGATGAGACTCTACATTCTATTCCACATTATATTTATCAGTAGATCTCCCATGCTGGACAGCAACCTCCTTGGAATCCTGCCTCATTCATTTACATATTCTTAGAACATTTACCATAGTATTCATATAGTGGAAAAGCAAATGTTTGTTTGATATAAGAGGAAAAGGAGAATTGTCATGTAAATACAGCTTCTGGCTGCTTTCCAGAAAGTATCTGTCAACACAACTGAAAAAAAAAAAACTCAATGCCACTGTATTTTTCCTCCACTCTTCCTTTTATGCACATAAACCTTTGCTACAGAATTTAATACTTTTCATACACTCTACATAATTTAGCTGAAATACAAGGTAAAGGGAAATAGTCAGAGCCTTAAGTTGCAATTGTTAGGTAGCTGGCCAGCTTTCGCAAGTAACAAAGTGGTTCTCTTCAATGAAAAAAGTATTTTGTCACTCTTACGTTCTAATTTTGTTAGAAGACTTGATTCACTTTTATTCTTCAGGGTTACTGAATCTGTAATAAGTTCAGAACTCTTCTCATCGGATATCAGAGCTTCCTTGGAACGAGTATTTTGAAGAGACTACATAAAAAGAATAAGATATCAAATAAAATAAAGTCTCACCATAAAGAGAAATAGTACTAACCTGTCTTAGTTTTCAATATACCTAAGTCTCATGTATGTGAAAAGATTGCTAGGAAAATTATCCACTATAATTACATATAGACTCATAAAATCCCAGCAAAGAGTAACTTCTTGAATTATTGACTAGAACAATGGGAATGGCCATAACCACAGTATTTGGCCAATCTGTTTCAAAAGAAGTATTAATCAAATGCTAAAATATATTCACTTAGAGAGGTTAGAAAGTTTGAATCCAACATAAAACGTGCTTCATTATTTTCTTACTATGATTGTATTTTATCACCAAAAATAACAGCTTTGGTCAAAATTAAGATTTGTGTAAGTCTAAGACAGTAATTATTCTAAATCCAGAAAGTAAACTTTTGACACAACTATGCACTGTTCTCTAAGATAGCTGTACATTAGTTAAAGTCATTATTTAAAAGCATAGATCATGAAAGAGAGGAATTACAAAGAATATAGAATTGAAAAGACCCAAACTGTGATGTCAGGGGTTTTACTCAAGTACAGTAGGAATAGTATAAACCTTAAAAATCAGTACACTGTGGGGAGAGGGTACAGCTCAAGTGGTAGAGAACATGCTTAGCATATACAAGGTCTGGGGTTCATTCCCTGGTACCTCTTCTAAAAGTAAATAAGTAAACCTAATTACCTCCCCCCAGACAACAACAACAAAATAATAATAATTAAAAAAAATTAAAATAGTTGCACACACACACACCCAAAAATCAGTGCACTAGGGACTAAAGCTGTTTTTCTGTCTTTGAAGTTCACAACGTTGCTCTGCCAGATTGACTATCTAAGTCCTCACCTCTGCCTCATCACAAAGTTACTCTCTCATTTTTGTCTAAGATGCCCCACCAGGTCATATGATTAAACACACCAAGAAACAAAAGCTGGGGGGCATGGCTCCCCCAGCTATTCTCAATCCCGGGCCAACTAACCTGCTTAAACACATACATAATAATTGCTACTTCAAAGTTATCCAAGATCAGTGGTCCTTGCTCTATCACCTCAGCATAGGACAATGTTAGGACCTCTGAGCTACTTCCTTTATTAGTGGCCCTACATTCTCCAGGGTCTTCAGGAACACCACTGGAGATATCACATAAACCACAGACCCTTCCTCCAGAAAAAGACCCATGGACCTCTTGCTCCATATAAAGATTTAAAAATTGAAATACCTTTAAATTTCTCAATTCACTGGAATCATTTCCGCTTGATTTAGATCCAGGCACAATTGTATCTCGGCATTCTAATCCAGAGGTCTGTCTGTTACTCATGAAACAAAACAATTTTAATGTTTAATTTGAAATCAATCTTTTCAGTGTATTATTTTTTTTCCATTTTAAAGTTGGCCTTTTAACAACATATACATCTTTTAATTGGAAAAATCACTTGAAGAGATGTTTTTAAAAATAACATGGCTCTGGTACAAATATGACTGAGTTCTGTGCTGGGCAATGACGAAAGTGATAGAGATGTGTAGATGGTGACTGCCTCCTCCATTCCATATTAAATAATAGTTGCAATATTTTTAATGGGTGAAAAAGTAAAATAGTCATTATTTCCCTCTCATTCCTCTGCCTCTGATAGCATTTAGAGACTTGGTAACTTTTAATACTAAATAAAAATGTAATTATAATTACTACTACATAGTAAAAGACTGGAAGATCATTCTGCCATCAATCTTCAAGTACTGAAAACAAATTAAAAAATTAAAACTCAAACATACCTCTTAGTAAAAGTTGGTACAACTGAACCATCCGTCTTCTCATGATAATCCGGGCTACTTAGAAGGTTAACTGGGACTCTTCCAAATGGGCATGACTGAAAATGTTTTGAAAGATTAAGTAGTTACTAGGAAATAACTAGGAAATAAACAGAGACCTCTCCAATACCATTTTAATCAAAGTAGATTAAAAATAACTTACTCGTTTTGTTTGTTTCAAGGGATTTCGATGGCCGATCTCTGCATCTTGAGGGGGTATGTTCTCTCTAAACAGAAAGAAAATACCCCTGATTTTTAAAAGAACAATATCGACACATGCATTTTCATCAACTGCTAAACCCGGTTATCTTATAACATGAACATATGTATACAGTTGTATAAATAAGTGTATGACCAGCATTTAAAAAATGGATTCAGTTTCCTTACCCATACAAAAACCTGGCTTTAGTAGTCTGTCCTCTGGAATCACAACTGATGTTCCTATTCTGTAAATGTCCAAGTGTATTGGGAAATGGTTCTTGTGCATTTAGTACTGTAGATGCTGTAAACATTTTGAAATTGTAATTAAATTTTTAAAGATATAAGGCATATACAAAAGTAATCTCATAAATCAGAATATTAAAAAAGTCAATTCATAATAAATATTTGTCCCCAAATAAGATATGCAGATATGAGATATTATGAAGATAATTCTCTATACTTCATAACTGTTTCATGATTACATAACTTTACTCAGAGTAAAGACATACTCTCTATTTATAAAAGCAAAAAGTCACACTCTCGTTTAGATTGATTTTAATGTGTTAACAATTAGAGAATGATTAGGGGGAAAAGTTTCTAACAAGGGAGTAAAGACTGTTATTTCTAAGTCTTATCTCCTTTATATCTAAAGCTTAATTTTAGATTTTAATCATTCTAAATAAATTTTTCTATAAAATATTATTCTGAATGCTTTTATGCAGAATAAAATAACACTGAAAAGCCTTAGCACATACTAATACATTTACCTGATAAACTCTTCTTTTCCTCCTCTGAAAGCAGCTGCTTTTTTTGAAGGTTTAAATTTCGAATGGCAATTTCCAGCATTTCTAGTGGTACTGCTCCACATTCCACAGCTTTCTGAAGAAGTTGCTTGCTTTTTTTGAAATTACCTGACAAAGTGAAAAAAAAAGTCATTTTAGTGCAACAACCTTCACGCCCCAGATACATATTCATCAAGACCTAGGAAAAAATTTAAAAGTCTTGGGCAAAAATATTTATTTCAAGGCTCATGCACTTTATTCATAAGCAAATGAGCAATCTGACTTCTGATAACAGTTCATGTCAGTTTACTTGTGTAATATGTAATTAGTGTAATTATGTATTAGTTCATCACCACTGACCGTTTTCAGAAGTAAAAGAAATGTTAACAGAGCAGTTACAAAGTGGGGACAGCAAAGGTCAACTAAAACAGAAACTCGAGGGAATTTAGTAAAGGGAAAACTAAGTCTGAGATGTTGCAATGGCCCCAAGAGCATCAATCTGTTACAACACAGCATAATTATCATTCATGATAACGTTTAAATGAGGCTGACATGTTTTGCTAAAGGGAATCCCCATCAAAAAGATTCATGTGAAAAAAAAGGTAACAATAAAGATGAATCTTTAGTTCCCAGCATTAGCTACACCACCCCCACAATGCAAAATAACTTAGGTGACCAAAATCACCTTCCTGACTACAGATAAATTACCAAACAAATTTTCTATCAACTGCAAATTTACCCAATACATTTAGTCTAGAATTTCGTTTATAAATATTAAATATGTACATCATGTATGTTATGAAACATGTTACCAGCATTTATGGGAGCCATTGAGCTATGCTATGCATTTGGGGTATAAAAATGATGAAGAGATGGCCTCTAGCTCCTGACAGTTTACAAATTTTAAGAATAGAAACATCTTTGATAATAGTTAAGTCTACATTTATTCAGGGTAGTGGTATTTCATGTATTGAGCATTTCAGGATAGCAAAGGAGGAAAAATAGACTGAGATAGGAACTAGCAATTAGGGATCTTACTAGGGCCATAAACTCCTCTGAGATCTGATAAAAACTATGGAATGTCCTCCACCCCCACAAAAATACACACACACCAAAAACACAGAGGACTTCAGGAATTCTGCACATTTCCTGAAAGCCTTTTCACCAACTTTGTTTAAAACAGTCACAATTTTGATCTTGAGGTTACTACTACATCACAGTGGGATTGATGAAATTTATTTCTTTTTTAAAGATAATACAATTTGAGATTTTCAAAATTTGTGTTCTAAAGAGGTAGAGTTTATAGCTGCTGTTGATAGGCCATAACACCTCAAAAACTGTAAAAAATAGAACGAAGGAGAGATAGAGGCCTGGCCAAACTTACTTACTCTACCAGCCAAGGAGTCAATTTTCCTAGGCAGGAAAGGGGTGATTTTTTTTTTAAATTCACTTAATAGTGAACAGGATAGATCAGAGAAGATGATTCAGATAACTAGGACTCAGAAATCACCTGAATGAGTAGAAGTTCAGGATTCTCAAACCACTATCTGAGTTTGTACAAAGCTCTTCTCCAAACTCAGTCCTGGAGAATACTCTCCAGGGAGTGAGCCCTGCTGGGACATGACTATGAGGAATCTGGCTGAGCCAGTAAAGTGGTGATGATGTGTGTATCTCTGATGTAAATAGGACCAGGGCTGGAGCAGAAACAAGGCAAGGGGAAAACAGGAATGATGGGCCAGAGGGCCAGCTGAGGATGGATCTGAAGGCCCCAGAGAATGAGAGAAAAGGCCATAAGACCAGCCAAACATGTCTGAGGAAGAGATTGCCCAAGATCTGTCCAAAAAGTCCAGATCATGAAGAACAAAGTGAGCAAGAAATAAAAGCTTCCATAGCACTTTACTTTTTTATAATTAAAAAAGAGAACTATCAATTAATGTTACGATTATATTCTGACGCATATTTTGGTGCTATGACACCACAGGACATGAAAAAATTATTTAAGCTCTAGCTTAAATAGTTTAAATATCTTATATCCTTCATCCCACAAATACTCAGTAAAAGGGTCATTTTCCTTTAATGTTTCCTGAATCTAACGAATAGCACACACATGATGTTCACGCTTATTTCCCTGGATTACTCTTCACAAGCGGGGAGCTAGCATAGCAAACATTCTCCACGTTTCTACTTGCGCAGCATTCTTCCCCTGTATTCTCATCTGATCAGCTTTCATGATTTTTGCCTCATACTTCTACTTCATACACACGATTTAATATTTGAATGTAAGTTACAGTGGGACATTATCTTGTACTTAAAATTTGGACTTGACATTTTCAGAATACCTTGTGAGAGTTCAAATTGCGCAAAAGATACATGAACAAAAGCAAATTTCTTGCAGTTTGCTCTGGCCATCTGAAAGTAGTCCCGTGCATCGTCTGGCTCCTGAATACTGAAATAAAGATTTCAGAGTCAAATTTTAAGAAAAGGGACACAGTTGTCTAAGTTTGATAACTCTTCATTCTATTTTCCAAAAGACAAAGAATATTGCTCTTTTTCTGTATGTAAAATTAAACACTAAGTTACTTTTAAAGATCTTTTTAGGTAGTCTAGAGTAACTTTCGTGGAAATATGTACACAGTAAAGATTTACATTATTCATTTGTTAATTATAAACAAAAGGATTTGGTCAAAAATATTAAATTTCTTACAGATAACCCTGACGTGGTTTTCATTGTACTCTTTGGTGATGTCGTTAGGTGTTATGTAATGTAGTTAGCTAAATGCAGTTAAAATGCTAATACTTACGCTTTTAGTTCAGCAAATCTCACTTGAATTCTAGCAAAACTCTCATTTTGGCCATATTTATCTGGAGGAAGTGCTTCAATTGCTTGATTGTAACGACCGATCAGTTTATTTAAAAGGGCATCATTTAAAGGAGCACTGTTCTTCTCTAGTTTGAGCAACAGATTCAGCCAGTCCTCTGGGTTGTTTGACATCATCATAATTTGGTTAACAGTTCCCGAGTTATCTGAGTAAGGGACGAAATACACCACAACAGAAGACAGACATAAACCAAATGCCAAATTACACTTTTCTTTCAAATTACAGTTAATCATTTATACTCTCAGTATGAACGTACATGAACTCCTTAAAATACTTTTTAAAAATTTTAACAATTTGTGTAAATGTAAGCAACTTATTTACTCCATATATATCCTTCATGAGCATATATTTTACTACCAAAAACCATATATTCTGAAGGAAAGAAAAAAATTGGAAATAAATGTTTTTTGTAAGTAACTTTAAGAAAACTATATGCAATAAAAGAAAATTTTATGCTGTAGCAGCATAATTCTATTTCAGCATCCTAATGATCCAGTAAAACTTCAGCCTGCCCACACCCCCCATCAGAACCAACTGTCTTGGAAAATCCTTCATCAATGATCTATACATTAAAAATTTATAGACTTTATTGCCCTCGTCCTAACATATCCTTCTTTACAACCTATCCATCCCACATTATCTCCATATAGTTCAAACTCACTTTTAAACCAATCAAACAAAACCAGCTTATAAAAGATAAGCAAATGATATGGTCATTTTCTTCTCCCTCCAAGTTACCCACATTTCTCCATAAATTTAATGTTGTAATTTATTTTTTACTTTCTTTAGTGTTAAGAGTTTCTATAAAAAACAACGTGAATTAACATCAGTCTCTGTTCCTGATATTTTAGTCATGACTAAATATTGTTAAATTCAGATTTCTCAGAGAAGCTATCATTCCTCTGTTAGTTTCAGTTACCTTCAACAAGGGCTAAACATTCCCTTTTACAAACAAAAACTACTGTTTCTGCTTTTTACTAAAACATAACAGATTCATAACTTTGCTTTGTCTTTAAATTTAATCTGATCTGATCTTAAGTTCACTTTCCAGTTTTACCTCTCATCACTTTCCTAACAAATTAGTTTTCAGGATGTCTAAAAACAGTCTTTGTAGATGAATTCCTGATGCCCCGTTGTCCCTGTGTTCAAAACTTAAAGCATTCTGTCTATATTGTGTTAGTTTTCATCTGATGCCAAACACATATTACAATGTAGCACAGTGGATGCATAAATCCTCATCAAGAAACCATGGTTTTGGGAAAAGGATATAGCTCAGTGGTAGAGTGTATACTTAGTAGGCACAAGGTCATGGGTTTGATCGCCAGTACTTCCATTAAAAATAATAATAATAATAAATGAATGAATAAATAAATAAGCCTAGTCATCCTCCCAAAAAGATTGAAAAAAAAGAAACCACAGTTTTAATCTTCCTCAGTATTATAATGTCTTACATCCCAATTAACAATTTATGTTAAGTATTTGCAGTTTTGAGTGAACTAAGGATTTTAAATAAGGACTAATCTACGTTGGTGTACAAGCTTTACTAGCACTATCTAAACACACAAAATAAAGTATGGTGAGAGCATATCCCCATATTAAGAATTTGCTTAATACCAGAATGATCAGTTTCTAAGTTGTCTCAAGTGAATATGATCTGCCATTATGACTAGCTGCAGGTTCTTCCATTTGTTTTCAATCCCTTATCCATTTACAGGTTAGTATGGATATAACAAACTTATCCAAAGGTCACTTTTCAAAAAAACTCAATCTGAAGTACAGAAAAGAATTTGGCTTTTGAGCTAATACTTTTCATAAAACTAGGGCATTAAACTGGGTGCTTTCACTCTTTTATCATTCAGTAAATAATTAAGTACCTACTACTTGTCAGGCACCATTCTTAGCTCTGCAGATAGAACACACCAGATAAAAACCATACCCTCATGGAGCTCACGTTCTAGAGGAGACAGGTAATAAGTAAACACATGAGGAAATGAGATACAAGGTGGTGAGTGCTGTGGAGAGAATACAGGGAAGGGAGAGAGGGGACACACAGCCAACCCGGCAGATTGCTATTTTAAGTAGGTGGGTTAGGGAAGGCCTCACTGAGATGACATTTGAACCAAGACACAAAGGAAGTAAGAGTGGGCAGAGAGCTGGGGAGTGGTGTTCAAGGCAGGGAGCAAGAACAAAGGCATTGGGATAGAAGGTGGTCTAACACACAGGAGACACAGCCGGGAAGCCGGAACGCAGCGAGCAAGGGAGGACAGGAAAAAAAAGAACAGGGGAGTAACAGGAAGATTCTTCACACCAAAAATTGAGTGTTTGACTTTAAATCTGTGCATCATTTTATTAAGATTGGTGAAGTTTTCTCACTTTGCGGCAAAAAAAGGAACGGGAAAAAAAATGGCTTACCTATTGATGGCAGGCAGATCAGCAGAAACAACAGCTGCCAATAATGGAAGCATTAAGAAAACTACCTCTGAGCACACTGTAATAAATTAAGTTTCCTTTTTTAAGAAAACGGGAAATTGTGGGAATATTTCCACACATTAAACATGAAGTGTTTGTACTGTAATTGGTAATCATCAATAACTGAGAAAACTGCATTACGTGAACCCAGTGGTTAACATTTCCTTCCCTTACCTCGGAGGGCACTTAAAAAAAAAGGAACTCACCTGTAGTATCAGCAGAGACTTTATTCAAGCTTAGCTCATCAGTAAGGTCTTCATTTTTAAATTTGTTTTTAATATCTCTCACTTTGTTCATTATGGAATCAATTGTCAATTCTCTGCCACTTAAATCCTCAGCCTCCATTTCTAAGAAAAAAATTGAATCATTCATAATTTCTATTTTTACCAGCAGTAAAGAAAAAAATGTTGCAACTAGCCTTTAGAACCCAGAAGACTAAAGCATTAGTTATATAAACACATCTAAACACAGATATTAAGAAGGTATTTGTGAAGCTATGTGCCCCAAAACAAAAAAAGATAGATCTTTGTGATCTATCCACCAAGGTTTCCAACAGGTAAACACATCTTTCCTTTCCAAGAGAACTTCTATAAAGCCACCACACAACACAGAAATTGCTGCCGCCTTTCAAACTTTCCATTTTTCTTCTACAATTTCCTTTCACTTTTTTCATAATTATTTTCTCTGGGCCATCTGCAAATTCAGTCTTTTTTTTTTTTTTTAAACGTGGTTAAATGCTTGCTTGGATTCTGGTAGAGACATATAGACATAAAAAAAATCCTTTTGGGAATGCGAATGACCTTTCCTTTATTCATCTGCTTTAGGTCAGTAAACATGCACATTGCAACTGCTTTCAAAGCAGAATACATACATCACAGCCCTTTATTGATCAACGGGGTATCAGCAGGCTTGTTCTTGTGCACATCTGGAGGAAACATGATTTACTGCCTTAATCATCCTAGTAACACCAAGAATCTACTGTATTCGTAGCGTCCTGATCATTTGCAGGTCTGCACGGTGTTGCTATTTGGTCAACAAATTGTCCGCGTTCTTTCTTCCGGTCAATCTCATTTTTGATTCTCAAACATCAACTAGTAACCTGGGATCACTGATATCAGTGTCGCCCCTGACCTCGAGCATAACAATGACAAGGGCCGATAAAGTGGGCAGCTAGATCTCTCCCCTTGCAGTCACGTTCGAAAGATAACTGTCGGAACCACGGCCACCACCTCCTCTCCGTGTTCTGTAACACCAGGCAAGAAAGGGAGTTTCCCCAGACGACCAGCCAGACCCTCTCTCCAGTCGAGTCCACACGTACCTCTTGCTTCCAGGGACCTCAACAAAATCAGCCGTCCTCCCCGGAGGACTGGCGGAGGCAGCGACCCCGCCCCTCCCCCCTCCCAGCCCGTTGAGCCGCACCCCACGGCTGCTGCCAGGCTCTGAGCCCTCCCCGCCTCGGCGCCACGGCTCACCGACCCGCGCTGCGCCGCTAAACAGCCCACACACTTGCCGCGCCGTCCCTCCGTGGTCCGGCGAGACTGGACTCTCCGCCGGAAAGCGGAGTTAAGAAGAAAAGATGGAATCCACGTCCCCGTCCGCAAACACGTTTGAATTTCCCCGCCGCTACCGCCGGGGGCGCCTATTGGTCAGTGCCAGCCACGTGGACGCGTCCTCCGTGATTGGCTCGTGCGCGTCGGCACCGCCCCTTCTCCTGAGACCTGAGAGTGCAGCGGGATGGGGTCTTCCTCTGTGACTGCACCCGCGCGGCGCCGGGTGCCGGGGTGCTGACCCTTGGCAGGTGCTCCCGGGACGCCAGTAGGCCGGCTTTCCTGCACCTTCCGGTTTAACAAGGCCACAGTTTTGCCCGCGAGGAGCCACTTCCGGGCAGAGATAAATAGGGGCTGAGAGGAAAATTGGGAGCGCGGATGCTGCTCCCAGCATCACGACCTAAAAGGTATCCTGTGAGTCGACCCTTCCCCGCCTGCGCCACCTCAGTCCTCGGTCTTTGAGGCCGAGCTGAGTTCGGTCCTTAATTGCTGCGCAGAGAGGATGTGGCAAGGAAGGATCGTTCACAATGCTACCTTCAGCCCCGCCGCCAGCTCAAGAATCTCAGTGCTATTTTGTCCTTGATCTTCGACTTATGTCCTTCCACTATCCTTGAATGACCATGCGTCGTCTTCAAGCTGAGCTCTTCCCTTTTGTCAGAATTCTGCGCAGAACCCAAACGCCCAACACGATGGCTACACCTGAATTCACCTTATCAGCCCCGCTCCCTCCGAGCCGGTCCCTC